CCCCACGAGGGCACATCAGTGGCTGGTGGGACAGGAGCATGGCCGGAGTGGGGTCGGGGGACAGCACGACCAGACACGGGGCCAGGTGGGGATTCTGGCTGCAGGGAGCCGGGCTCTAAAAGAGCAGAAGTCAGGTGGCAGCTGGGTGCGAGAGGGCTTTGTCAGGCAGGAATGACGGCAAAGGGGCGTGGATGGGGGCGAGCGGTTGTAAATGTGGAGGCAAAGCCACTCCATAAACACAGTGGGGTGGCATCAGTCCCCGGGGCCCCAGAGTTGGTGGGGATTGGGGACAGGAAGGAGGTGCTCTCCTCTCATGGCTGCTGCTTGGTTTTTTGTCGCCAGTGAAATGAAAAACGAGGTGCTTGGGGTTTGGGGCAGTGGAGCTGAGGTGTGGGATGCTTGAGGGGAGAGGGACAGGTGAGGCAGCCCCATAGAGAGGAGCAGGGTGAGCTGCCGCCTGCCTGCTGGGGAGCCCGCTGGGAGGGCACACGCTCCCGGGGGGCCAGGGCTGAAGGAGACGAGTGGTGTGCAAGCAGCAGCCGAGGGCAGGAGAGTCCCCCTGTGTGCACCGCGGTGTTTGGGGGCAGGAGTGATGTGGCGTCCTGGGGCAGTGTGCCCCCGGGGGAGAGCCGGCTCTGTGCTGTGGTTCCCCATGTGAGGGAGTTGCACAACGGACCATAATTCCAGAGGACTGTGGGTGGTTACGAGAATGGGAGATTGATTCCGATTCTGCAGGTTTCCCGCCGCTGACGTTCTGGAGCAGACAGGCCTGTCCCGTACATTGCAGGATGTCTGCCTGCCTCTCTGGCCGACCCACCCAGTGCCTGTAGCACCTCCACACCTCTCAATCTGACACACAAAAATGTCTCCAGACTTTGCCATAGGGCCCTGGGCAAGGGTTCCCAATTGCAAACCATTAGATTAGTGGAAATATGGGCCACACAGGGAGAGGTGCCCAGGTGTTGAAGGGTGCCCAAGAAGAAGGCTGGAAAGGAGCCAATGGGATTGGCTCTGACAGCCCCTTAGGGGAAGCTGGGTGCCATTACTTCCAGGTATTTCCTTCTTAACATTGCCACTTAATACTTGCTCAAGCACGTCAGGAATTCCTTCCTGGATTAGAAATATTACAAGATACCCAGCAACTTGCAAATGAGCTTGCAGTGTCCCTGCCTTTGGGAAAAGTTTTCTGCGTCTGGAAGGAAGGGAGACCCTAGAACAGACACACGTCTTTTGGTTTCTATAAAGGTGAACTCAGATACACAAGTGAGCCTAAGGTCAGTCCAGGGAGAACTCTAGATTAGATGTTTAAAGGAGTGCTTTACTTATACATAGAAAAGGAAACTGATTTGATGAATAGGGACAGTTCACTAAGGACAAAAGTGTTAAATGTATTTCCCTGTGTTTTTTAAAATTGTCAAAAACGTGTAAATTGGGTGCCCATTTAACCTTCAACAAAGTAGTTGACAAAATTGTTCTATAGTTGCTGTATAGGCAAGTTCAGAGGTATGTGAGCTGGATGCAAAGATAATATGATGTGTCTGGGTCTTGCCTGGTGATCACTCTTGAATGCTTCTAGGTGCAAATTACTGCATCTGAGGGTCTGAGGCTCTGTCTTGCCTGATCAATATCTTTTCCATTGATTTGGATGGAAGTGTACAGGGTTGTGTGCTTGGAAGAACCAAGAATGGCCAAGACAACCAAGGAGGAAGCAGAGTGCGGGGGCCCACCCTGCCCTGTGAAGTGCCAAGCTGGCTTAGGAGCCATAGCCGTGGAGGCCATGGGCATTAGAACACAGATGCAAACAGTATTGGAAAAGAATAGAGAGCCCAGAGACAGGGCCACTACGCAGGTGTGGAGCCTGTTCTGTGACTGTCACTGCTTATGTGTGTATCCTGAGTACTTAAATAAATGCTGGCACACAGCTTACAAAAGAACCACTGGCTACTGGGAGGGACTGGGGGATGTTCGTGTTATAATACAGCAACACTGCCCAGCCTGCACAGTTCACACGCGGAAAAGGGGCACCTTTAGCTGTCCTGGGAAGCAGGCAGGCCCGCGAGAGCCAGGTAAACGACGCCCGAGTGCAGGAGCCCCAATTCGAGGTCAGTGGGAGTTGCGGATGAGAAATGACCGTCAGGGAAAGCAAACAGCAGCCCAGTTGCATAAGTATTAGGACACGTTGGGAATGAACGTGGTACACTGGACAGAGTGGACGCCCGAGGGACACAGTGAAATAAAACACCAACCCCACAGCAGCAGGGGGCGCTGTCTTTCACTGTTTTCCTCGTCCGCCTCTGTGATGAGGGTTAGAGACAGTGGTCGTGACCCTTGTCTCCCTGTGGTCCGTCGCTGTGCCTGATACAAAGTGGGCTCTTAACTCTTTATGTTCAGATGGGGTCAGAGGGTGAAGACTTTTGAAACCTCAGCAGAATATATTTGAAATGAACAAAAATATTCATTGTAAGTTTGAGCATTAAATAACAAGTAAGTGCTCGCTTCGGCAGCACATATACTAAAATTGGAACAATACAGAGAAGATTAGCATGGCCCTGCGCAAGGATGACACGCAAATTTGTGAAGTGTTCCATATTTTTGCTCCTGGGGGGCCCAAGTCCTTCTGATCAAGGCCAAAAATAATAATAATAATAATGACAAGTAAAAGGGTTACTTTAGGATCAGCTAACGGTCTTGGGACTAAGCGTTATCAGGCAGCTTCCGAACCCTCTGAAACTGTGCAAGTATTAATTCGTCTTTTTCCAGGATGTTTACGGCATTCATCTGATATTCAATGGGATCTGATATTTTAAAAATATATATAACAATCACTACTTTCAGAAGATTCGTATGGTAAAAGACTGGGAAAATGTAGCAGGTAAAAATCTGGAAGGAGACCTCCTGGAGTTGGCTGGCCTCTCAGTTCAGGCCTGGGGGCTGGAGAGGTCCTGGGCCAAGCTCAGGTTGAGTGCAACTTAAACAGACAGCAGGCAGCAAGTTGGAGAGGCAGGGCAAAGAAAGAGACGATGACTTCATGAATAAAGATCCATCTCAGAGTCCCAGCTTTCTTGAAGCAGGCACTGTGTGTCATTTAAGTCTGTATTTCCAAACCACAACAGCCACAGAACAAGCCCCAAGGGGACCCAGGACTGCCTGCTGTACTTTGGGCAAAGTTGCCCGGAGAGGTTTACCAAATGTCTGGCCCAGGAGGCTGGGTGTCTGGGAGGAACAGGAAGATGACAGTTTCAGGGACACATCCAGGGTTGGGGTCCTGCACCCGTTAAAATGGTTAATAGTCCTTCAGCAGCATCTTGGCAGCAAGTACCCACCCCCAAAGCATGGACCCCATTGGCACAGCCCCCAGGAGTCTTAGGCCGTCGGGTGCCACCTGGGTTACTGTGCAGGAACTTGGGGATGGTTCCTCATACTCTCCCAGGAGAGGCCCCGAGGCCCCTCCTCCGCATGGGATGGGCACATGGAAAGAAGGTGGACGCTTTCCACCGAGCAGAGGTGGGCTCTCTGATCTTAGGACTTCTGGAAAGGTACATCCAGAAGGCATTGGGGGAACCATACGTGTATCTAAAAAGAGACCTTACCTTAAGTTGTGTATTTTTGCCTTTCTCAGCATAGGATAAAATCTTCTGGAATTTCACAAAATGAAAATATTTTATATTGTTTGATTTCAAGTATATTTGAAATCATGTCACCTTTCTGCTCACAACCCTGTGGCAGCTTCCCATGTCCTTCAGTAAAAGCCACGGTGGCCCCTTCGTCTCCCCACAGCCATTTCATAAGAGTCGCTCCCTCCTCAATGGGCTCCACCCTCGCCTTATCTCTGTTTGGGATGCGCCAGGCATGACCCCGTCTTAGGGCCGATTTCTGGCTGTTTCCCCCTCCCCTTGGTCATCCATTTTCTCCTCCCTGACTGTCTTCAAGTCTGGTTTCACATGTCACCTTCTCAGCGAGACTCACCCTATCTGCCCCGTTTAAAATGGCCACCACCTCGACACCTTCCAAGCTGCCACACGCTGCTTTTCCTTCTACCGCTAACCACCACCTGCAGCTTCCAGCTCGTGGCCCAGACACCGTGGTAGTGCCACTCAGTCAGGAATCATCACCTACTTTTGACCCTAAGTGGTGGACCCCAAGCATCTAGAAAAGTGGCCCCCAAAAGGGCTCAAAAAACCAGTGGCTGAACAAATGAAATATATGGAATAAAACGTGGTCTTTTATGTTTCAAAGAGGCTGAATCATGAAGTAAAGACTTCTTGACTTTGGAGGTGTTTGGGTGGTGTTTCTCCATCATGTTCGCAGTGTACGTTTTCATTCTGGTTGAATTACAGGTTCATTCCTGGTCTTTCAGCACTTTGTCTTCTCTTTGACAAAGATAAACATAATGAATTGAGAGTTTCACCTTCAGTGAATTACCGCATTTGTGCCCTCTTTGTAAAATCTTACAAATAGCTTCAGTGAATCAGAACTTGGCAGGTCCGCTGTGTGGTGAGAGAGGAACTGCGTGCGGGTTTTCACTAGTGATCGGCTGCCATTGGTCACAGGTGACATCGGGCGTGGAGTGGGAGAGGCAGGAACCTCTGTATCCTGGGTGATCACGGTCAGACCTGCCTCACAGGACATGTCCAGTGTCTTTACTTCATTTCCTAACATCATATCAGTAATCAGGGAAGTCCAAAATCAAGTAAAAAGCATGAACCTCCCACTTTGCTTTTCCAGAACTCCAGTTGTGCAATGGCAAGAAGTTTCAATTCTCCAGGGTCTAAAGATGATACAGGAAAACATCGCCTGTTTTGGGATGGCAGGTGGCACGGCAGCGCAAGGAGATAAAACCTCTCCGTCCCGGGCGCTCCGGGCCTCTAGTCCAGCCGTCCCTGGTAGTCAGTCACTCTGGGGCTGGTCAGGACAGGAGAGATGTTGCTTTGGTGTTTTGTGAAGTTCGCGTTTTAAGTGTTAACCGTCCTGTCCTTTTGTCTTTTCCGGTGCGGCGGCAGACACGGGGCTGGGCGACTCCGTGTGCTCCAGCCCAAGCGTCTCCAGTGCCGCCAGCCCCAAGCTCGACCCACCCCCCTCTCCCCACGCCAACAGAAAGAAGCACCGGAGGAAGAAAAGTACCAGCAACTTCAAGGCCGACGGGCTGTCCAGCGCGGCTGAAGGTGAGGTCTCCCGGGGCGCAGGGGCAGAGTCCACGTGGCTGAAATTTAACTTGTATTTCTCAAATTTGTGCAATCACACTCTTTAGAGCCACTGACACACAATCACGCAGGTCACTGCACCCCTGTTTACAAGGGGGGCACTAGAGGGCCCAGGGCGCCTTCTGGCGGATTCTTGAGATGAGGCCCCAAATCGGTCGTCTCTGCTTCTGGCAGTTGTTGGCTCGCAGGTGGCAGCGCTGGTTTTCCCGTCATGGGCCTGCCCAGGCCCTTTGTTCTTGCCCTTGCTCGGCAGCAGGGGCAGACAGGGACCACTCCGGCACATGGCCGCACCCATCACCTGTCGTCAGTTAGGGACCCTGCCTGATATCAGCTGGTCTTAATTCTTACAAGACAGCTGCCCCAGTGCTGGCTCAGCAAGGGGCTGATGACAAATGCCCCTTCTCTGGGTGTCCCTCAACTCTTTGCATTGTGGGCTGTATGAATATCCTGTTTGTCGTGATTCTCCTTTGGCTTGTGGAGCACTGTGTTTTTATTCTCGGTGACGGCCAGCTGAGATCTTAAAGTGGCCCCTTCAGGTGGAGTTACGTTTATTCCACAGATCCAAGTAGAGATACACACACACACCACATCATGAGAGATGAAATTAATGCAGAGGAATAAGCGAGTTAAATACTTCAAAGGAAAACTACATTTTCATAATGTTGTGTGACGTGAATTGTTATCTGTGAGACCATCAGTAGTAAAAAGCCCTGTTTTCAATAAGGGTTCCACATGCACCTGAACTACCTTTATAATTTATATCCTTTAACTTTTGCTATTTCTGCTACACCGTTTTCTAAGTGTTCTGCTTGTTTTGCCATTCAAAACTGCAGTTTACAATATTAGGTGAAGTGGCCCGTTTCTCCTAATATCCAGACATGAGCCCGTAAACCCACAACACACGCATCAGCAAGGAGAGGACAAAGTTTATGGCGCGTGCGCCGGTTGTGTACCGTGATTCTGGGTGAGGGCCGTGGGGCTCACGTGTACTGAGCAGTCTGAGGTTCAGGGTGTCCCGTAGCTCCTGAGGCTCTCACGGTAGCTGAGCAGGAGGAGTCTGAAAAGCCTTCTTCACCACATTTCCTATCATTTTGCCTCCCATAGGCTTCCTGCCAACCAGTTTAGCCAACATATTTTCTCCTGTTAGGTAAGTGAGGACGAGTCCATTATATCAGCAGTGGCGAAAAATTGACTACTTCTGAGAGCGCCCACTCAGACACGCCTGACCTTCCCCGTAGAAAGGGACTCAGCCACAGAGGCTGAGTGTCGATGACATTCCTCTAAACAGGTGTCCAGCAAAGAGCACCCAGCCATGCACATGTCCCACCCCCACCTGAGGTTTGGGTAAACTCAGGAGGAAGCATGCCCTCACCGGGGTGGGTGACGTGTGCCACATACCCAAGCGGTGTGGGAGAGAGTAAGATTTGCTCAAAGGAAAGGCTTCAGACCCATTTCACAGATAAACATCATACTGTCTGTCGTGTGTTTACAACTGATGACATCTTTGAACAGCACCTCCTGGTAGAAACCAAATCTCAAGTGCATGATACACATTTTACCCATCTAATTATGCCACCTACTGACAGTGAAAACTGTGAATAAGATATAGCCTTAAAGTAAATGAGTAACAGATGCACATGTAATTGGGCTGCTGGTTCCACCCCGTGTCCCAGTCAGCTGGCAGCGAGTTTGAGGGGCGTTTGAGAAGCTACCACGAGCTTATTGGGCGGTGCCTGAGAAGTTTCCAGCCCGCTTCCTGAGTTACTGGGATTGTTCCGTGTGCTCCAAGCAGCAGCACATAACAAGGCTGATCCTCAACCGAGAGCAGCCACGGAGCCTTTCGTTAAAAGGGCCTCACCCCTGAGGCACTGACGCAAACAGGCAGACGGACCCTGGACGTGGACACACCTGGGTCAGAAACCACAACGGGGCAGGCATCCGTGGTCAGGTGACCTGTGTTAAGAAGCTCAGCACCAATGGCCAGAGAAGAAGCTGCCCTCGCTTTCTAGTTGAAAAACTATTATCTCTATAATACCAGTGGCCATGACATCTTTTCAGTAGAAATAAGACAAGTTCTCTAAAAAAAAAAAAAAAAAGGAAATGGATCGTTCCTCCCTAGGGAAAGTCACGTCCCCAACTAACTATAAATGAGTCATTTTTGTGAGACACGCTCTGTTTCATTATTCGAAGGCACACTTCTTTATCTCACATTTTAACATCTCTCGAGTCAGAATGCATCCCACAATTGAGGTCATTTTAGATTCAATGATACACAATAGTTTTAACAGTCTCAACAACTATTAGCTCCTTAAAGTAAATTGTGTAAACCATCTGAATTAAGCATTCTGTTCTTGACATTAAAACTAGTTGTGTATGCTTTATTTTTAGAGGATGCTCTTTAATTTTAATTACAAGAAAGTATTTCTGTTTCCTGCAAGGCACTGTGGCTGCTTACCACCAGTGTATTCTCTACTGTCTGACCTTGTGCTGAAAAGTTGTGCTTGCAGACAAAGAAAGATATATGGAAGATATCTGACAAGTAGTTGGGTTGTATGGCTTTTGACGTAGCCCCCTGGATCAGATGACTAGATCTAAATCTCTTTGGAGTATAAGAAAAAATAAAACTCCACTGAAAGTCAGCTGGTGCTGTCAGGGTCCTGGGGGAAAACGTGGCACCCCGTGCTGGGCCATGGGGGGTTTCCAGGGGGATTCTCTACTGAAGTGAGGGCAGGTGTGGGAGGAGTTGCAGGTGTGGGGAGGGAGCCCAGGGGTGTGACTAAGAAAGGAGGGGTTAGTTCTAGGGCCCAGAGAGGGGCTGTCTCGGGAGGGCCTCCACGCAGGAGCTGTGGCCTTCGGCAGAAGGACATGGCAAACCTGTGGGGACCCAGAGGGCCGGGAGCCCCGGGGGAGGAGAACCGTAACATCAGCTTCCTCCTGCCTCTGGTCTGCCCATCTCCTTGACCAAACCCAGCCGGAAGCTGAATGGCATGAGGCCTCCTAACACCCGCCCCACAGGGCTGCCTCCAGGGCAGCGACAGAAGGCGGAGGTGGGCCTTTCGCATGCCTCTTACAAGTCCCTGGGAGTCGGCACCACTGACCCTTTCATGGGTGTGATGGCCCAGAAGATGTAGACCTCTTAAGGGCGAGGGTGTGTGCTGTGCACCCTCGTTCCCCAAGGCCTGGCCTGAGCGCACTGAGGGGGCAGTCGTAGCCTCCCCAGTGCCCCTCACTGCTTCTTCCCAACCTCGTGCGCAGAGGGGCCCCCTGCACAGCAGCCTGGGCCCTCAGCCACCTGCAGCAGACCTGGCCGTGGCATTTCTTACCTCTGTGGCACTCTTGTTCAGACAGTAAAGGCTAAAAGAGCATCAGTATTTCTGCTGCTCAAAAGCCAGAGACAAGCAGCAGAGACAGATTATAGGAGCAGAAACTAGACTGAAGGATTCCTGATCTTTACCAGTATTTTGAGGCCCGACATGGTAACTTGATTGACTTGTGTATATGAAGAGCCACAGGTAAGATGGCTGGGTGATCAGCTGGGCACAGGCTCACACGTAACTATTAGTACCATCCGAAGAGTCCAGCATCTGAAAGGAATCCAGCCCCTCCTTTGGGTGGGGGACCGTGGGGTGCAGGCGAGGGCAGGGTGCTGTCTCTCTGGGATCGTGACGTTGTATATCACCCAAAGCGGAAGTCTGCCCAGCTGTGCCAGGGCAGAGCTCAGAGATCGCTCACCTGGGCAGCCAAGCACAGAAAGGCCGCGGTACCTGTTGGAGCAGCGTGGGTTCCCTGCGCGTGGCTCCCTGCTGCCTGCACGGATCCCGCCCCGACGTAGATCCGTTCTTTCCATCTATATAATCTCTAAACTGTGTAAGAGCTTCTCAGATATGGTGGCTGTGTTTTTTAAATATCATGCAACTCCAGGAAAACAAGACTGTCAATTAAGAATGTCAGAAATAGGACACGTTCCCATTGAGTTTAACTTTGAGAAAGAGCCTCCTAGAACCAGCATTGTCTAGCCACACCGTAAAAATGTGAAGGTGATACCGAGTTGTTTTTTTTTAAACTTCATTGTGTCACGTCTCTACTTGTGTTCCTGTCTCATAGACCGTTGGGAACATCGGATGATCTTGATTTCAAATTGGATTTGATCTGCTCAGAATCATTCATTCTTTTTAGGAAAATGCTGTGTGTTCAGACCTGGGCACTGTACTCTGTGAAGATTTTAGACCAAGGGAAAAAAAATGTAAATTCAGATGGGGTGAGAAGCATGGCCGTGGGCACAGAAGCCATGTCATGGAGGGGACCTGTGAAGTGAGTGCCGAGAAGAGTTGTGACAAAGGGCAGGGCCTGGGACCTTGTGCTCCAATGATAGACACACAGTACCAACCTGTCCTGGATGACCCAGAGGGACTTCACCGGGACCAATGGGTAGAAGCTTGAAGGACATGGATTTTGATTTGTTTAATATAAGGACAACTTTCTAAGAGCCAGGGCTGCCCTGAGAGGCAGAGGTTCCCCATCCTCCGCAGTGGGCACAGAGCTCTGGATGACAGCACCAGGGGCCCCAGATTCACGGCCAGAACCAAGCTCGAGGAGAGCTCTTGGGTAGTGGGGATGTGCAGATCTTTAATGACTTGCCGGCCTTCGGCATTGTCTTTGAATCGCGGTACTTCCTGGGCTTCCACTTCTCTGGGGTCCAGTAATGAGGGTATCACGGCCCCATCTGTAGTCCCGAACCTGGTGGCTCTCGTTAGCGTTAAAACACTCATGCAAGTTTGCGTCAAGTGTTAATTTCCCCGTTTCCCCCCAGTGAATGCGGAAGGAGAGAAAGGTTAAGTGGCTTTCTTGTCCGGGGTCAGGTTACTGGTAGGTGACAACTGCCTCTTGATTCTCTGCCTCAAGCTCTTTCCGCCAGGCAAAAAGCCAGTCTTTGAGGTATGTGGAGCGGCTTTTGAATCTAG